AGAAACTCTGTTAGATCCAACAGACACAGACTCTAGAAAACTCTGCATAAATGTTATTGGATCACACAGTCATATGTTTATAATAATCATATATATATATATATATATATATATATATATATATATATATATATATATATATATATATATATATATATATATATCGTTACATTATCAGAGTAATAATATTTTAAAACAGTAGATTTTTTCTTCTTATGAATGCTCCTGACTGTTCATAGGATTTGTTCTTCCAGAAGAACATTTTCAGTTAAGAAACATTTAGTGAATGCCACAAATGTTCTTGAGAAGACCTTCAGTACAGATTTGTTTATAAGAATGTTTCATGAATGAGGCTCAATATATTTCTGACTTAAACAAAACAAAAAGAACTTGATTGATTGATTCTGAACTCGGTGCCAGTGAGACCTGCCATGATAATTACTGAACTGACTTCTTGTTCTATGGACGCTGGAGCTCTGTCTTTTGGGGAGCAGTATTTATAGTTCGTACTTCTTCTTTGCAGTTCTGGTTATTTGGTTGTACAATAAGATTAAATTAATAACTTGTATGACTCTGTAGATATGCTAAATAAGTATTTCATTCTGTTCTTTTCTGCTGATTTAGAATATTTTGTGTGTTTTGCTCTTGGGTTTGTGGGTCAGTGTCATAAATTAGTTTCACTTTGATCATTTATCTTCTAGATGTGTTTATATCACAGTTCAAAATGTGCTATGGCGACAGTTCTCGTGCCACATGTTCATGTGGACAGGTCCAGTTCTTACAGAGACATGAACCATAAACCAGGTCAAGGCATCTGCAATCTGACCGCGGTTGAGGGTTTGATTCCCAGCGTGGGCCTTTCTGTGAAGAGATTGCGTCAGTTTGCTCGGACCCTGATTCCGATCTGGAGAAGGTCCCAGAACCTCTCCATCTCTGCTCTTTAATTAACATGTCCAGACGTGATCAAAGCAGAGGTGTCACTTTGACCCTGGCACAGAACGTTCATTTGGCCTGAACCAGAGTCACGTCCTGAGCCAGAGTCTGTGCTCCACTCTGCCTCATTAACACTCAGCACCACTCAACCACACTGGACCTGGACTTTCAAAGAGTATATCTAGATTTTAGGACTAATGCTATTTTTTTTTGAGTTGTTTTTTAGTCCTTAGTTCTGGTTTGTTCTTGGTTTAGTCCTGGATTATTCTTCATTCTGTTTCGTGTATATCCACATGTCGCTGTCCTTGGTGCTGATTTAGTTCTGGTCCTTGTCGAGTCCTTGGTCTAGTCCCTGGTTTTGGTTTAGCTGCTTGGCTCCTCATCCTCACCTCACCCTGTTCTTGGTTCTTGTTTAGTTTTCTGGTCTGGTCTCTGGTCTGGTCTCTGGTCTGGTCTCTGGTCTCTGGTCTGGTCTCTGGTTCCTGGTCTTTGGTCTTTGGTTTGGTCTCTGCTCTGGTCTCTGGTTTTGCTCTGGTCCCTGGTATTGGTCTAGTTCTGGTCTGTCCCTCTGGTGCTCTTCCTCATGTTTATTCGTCTGGTCTGGTCTCTGGTCTCTGGTTTGGTCTCTGGTCTCTGGTCTCTGGTCTGGTCTCTGGTTTGGTCTCTGGTCTGGTCTCTGGTCTCTGGTCTGGGGTCTGGTCTCTGGTCTCTGGTCTCTGGTTTGGTCTCTGGTCTGGTCTCTGGTTTGGTTTCTGGTCTGGTCCCTGGTCCCTAGTCCCTGGTCCCTGGTCTTGGTCTGGTCCCTAGTCTTGGTCTTGGTCTTGGTCTGGTTGCTGGTTTTGGTCTTGGTCTGGTTCCTGGTCTTGGTCTTTGTCTGGTTTGGTTTCTGGTCTGGTCCCTGGTCTTGGTCTGGTTCTGGTCTGTCCCTCTGGTGCTCTTCCTCATGTTTACTCGTCTGGTCTGGTCCCTGTTCCCTAGTTCCTGGTCTTGGTCTTGGTCTGGTTCCTGGTCTCTGGTCTTGGTCTTGGTCTGGTCCCTGGTCTTGGTCTTGGTCTGGTTCCTGGTCTCTGGTTCCTGGTCTCTGGTCTCTGGTCTTGGTCTTGGTCTGGTCCCTGGTCTTGGTCTGGTTCCTGGTCTCTGGTTCCTGGTCTCTGGTCTTGGTCTTGGTCTGGTCCCTGGTCTTGGTCTTGGTCTGGTTCCGGTCTGTCCCTCTGGCGTTCTTCCTCATGTTTACTCGTCTGTTGTTGCTGCTGCTCATTTTAATAAATATTTGAATTTTCTTCTGAGCCTCGTCTTTGCCCCGAGGCAACGCACATCTGCCTCCTCTTCCTCACACCCCTCCTCCTCTTCCTCACACCCCTCCTCCTCCTCTTCCTCCTCTCCCTCCTCCTCCTCTTCCTCCTCTTCCTCTCACCCCTCCTCATCCTCCTTTCTCTCTTCATCCTCTCTTCCTTCTCTGCCTCTCACCCCCCTCCTCCTCTCTCTCTTTGCGCTCTCTCTCTCTCTGTCCTCTCTCGCTCCCTCTTTCTCTTCCTCTCTCTCCCTTCACTCTCTCCTCTCTCTCTCCCTCTCTCTCTCTTCGCTCTCTCTCTCTCTCCCTCTTTCTGTCACCCTCCTTCCTTCTCTCCTTCCTGTTGTGTTGTTTTGCCGTGGGGCTTCCATTGTTCTCTTTCTTCTCCACTCTTCTTTCACTCGTCTGCAGACTGTGCAGCTTCTGAAGAAACTCCAACAAACTCATCATTTCATTCATTTCATTTCATCACAAATCTCCAAAAGTCCAGTCAAAGTCATGTGTCAGGAAAGTGTTTTTTTTTTTTTTTTTTAGTTTTTGTTTTTGTTTATTTTTTCTTGATGCTGCTGTACGTCTCCAACTACACCACAACGATCTGGGAGGGCATCTGACACACCACAACATCTGCACATTCACTACACACAAACACGTCTGTTATTATTATTGTTATTATTATTATGTGAACCTGTTCTACATGATCCTGGGCTCTGGGGCTTTGGGGCGTTACCTTCAACAGCCTCACTCCTGATTGGCTCTTTGGTTGTTATGATACATGTGGTAAGATTTCCAAATATGGAACTCTGCTGCACATTCGCTCCTATAACTGCCGGCCTCCATGAACCTCATTTGGAGCCACAGACCGTATGAATCGCTGACGAGCTATCCACACAGGAAGTGCTCCAGGCGGCTCTTCCGGCTCCTCCTGACGCCGGCTTCAGTTAACTTACACTGGAATATTGTCGTCCCTTTCAGAATCAGAGTCAAAATGTAATCATTTCAATATTTAAAAAAAATACACAGAAACAAAACACGGCACTCTGGTCCAGATTAACAGCAGCATAAATAATAATAGGAATAAATAGTTTAAAATATCGTATACAGTCTTTAAAAACATTCCCCGCCCTCTCCCATTCTCTCAAGTGTGTTCCATGTCCGTGCTGTCTTGTAAGGTGCATTCGTGTCCGGGCTTTCTGACAGAATTGATCTGCCTAATGACATCTGGGTAAAAACTTGTCTGGAGTCTGGTGGTCCTGGCCTGTAGGTGGTGCTGTCTTCTGTCTGATGGGAGAGCTGTAAAAAGTCCATGTGCTGTGGCCTTTTGTCCTGCACCTACTGAGGTAAATGTCTTCCATACAGGGTAGATAAAGCTACAGATGTGCTCAGCAGCTCTTCCTCCTCTGCAGAGTGTTCCTCTCTGCCCTGGTGCTGCTGCTGAACCACACAGTCATGTTGGAGGTGAGGAGACTCTCCACCATACAAAAGGCCATCAGAACTTTTTTGAGGCACCGAAAAATGTCAAGGTGTTGGTGAGCCTTCTAATCTCTGCAGCTGGTGTTAGACCACATGATTTGGACTCTCAGCTATTTGAAGCAGGAGAAAATCTCCACTGTATCTCCACTCATCTCCAGAGGAGAAGTGGCATTGGGTTCCCTGCAAAAATCCACAATCATCCCCTTTGTTTTCTTCTTATTGAAGAACAGATTGTTTTGCACCAGGCCTCTGGCTGACAGACGTCCCTTCTGTAGTTGGACTCATCACTGTTCATAAAAAATGTTTCAGAAGAAGCGCTTCCTGGACCTCCAGAGGATAATACACAGTAGATCCAACTCAGTGGTGCTCTTTGGGAAGGGAAGTCAGTACAAAGATGCAAAAAACCCAAGGCACTCACTGGTTAAAATAAAATGTCTTTATTAGTTTACGGCATGTCTTAATGGACAGCTTACAAAGTCCCGACGCGTTTCAGTGGTCCCCTGAGGAAAGCCTTAGACTGAAACGCCTGTTCATGTTGAGCTCCACCACTGCTGTGTCATCAGCAACTTCTCTACATGACTGGATGGACAGTGAGTGGCACAGTCATAAGTGAGCAGCGTGTACAGAAGGGGACTCAGAACACAGGCCTGGGGTGAGCCTGAGGCAGATGAAGGAAGATGTGATGTTGTGGATCTTTACAGTTTGTGGCCTGTTGGTGAGGAAATACAAAATCCAGTTACACAGTGTCCTGCTTAAACTCTGGAGACTGACTTTGTTGACCAATGTCTGTGGGATTCTGATGTTAAAAGCAGAACTGAAATCCAAAAAAAGGAGCCTCGGGAGTAAGAGTCCTTTTTTTCTCTGGACCTGCTGCTTCGAGCCTCTTCATTTTAGTCTTAAATGTTTGTATTAACTCACGACACAGAATCCTGGTGTTTTTATTTCTCTATTTTGTCCCTAAATCAAGATATGAACATAAATAACAGACCAATCAGACGCCTTCATTCCCCGAGGTCGCTCCCACCAGCGTTAGCAACAGGTTTGATTGACAGCTAGTGAGTTTCGTTTCTAAGTTAAGCCCCCGTCCCTCTTTCATGTGAGAACAACGGACACACTTAACCACCTCAGTCATGATTGGCTCTTGTGGTTGCTATGATACTCGCGGTCAGATTTCCAAACATAGAGCTGGAGAGTTTCATTTGAGTGGAGCTAAACGCGATGGCTGACATCCACTCGCTTAGTCCACTTTTTGATACAGTCAGTGTTTTAACATGAACTTGTATGCAAATAGGAATAAGTCAATTTTTCTTGGAAAATCCTGCACTCGGCTCCACTTTTCTCATGTTGGACATTTTTCTGATTTTTCACGGTCAACAGTCAAAACGATCGTCCTTTAAGAGCGTTTGGAAAGAAACAAGTCTTCATTTGTGCTGCTCTGGTGGGAGGGGCCACGTACAGAGACTCTGGAGACACTGCTATGCTCAGCCACGCAGAAAATTACCAATATTTTAATAGAAAATATAATTAAAATATTTTTGTCAAAAATCACCCAAGGGCCACATTAAAGGTCTTGGAGGGCCGGATCTGGCCCCCGGGCCTTATGTTTGACACCTGTGATCTAAACCTACTGTACCTGTAGATCGTGGGAGACTGTGACGACACAGATGCTTCTATTTGAATCATTTCATTGTATAGAGTTTGTGGAGTTTAATGAGGTGTGTTGCTTATGTTTAATCCTAAAGCCCAGTGTAGTGACTTTAAATGTTTATAAGACAATGGACAGAGATTCTGTGACACCAGTGTGTTTACTCCAGACTGGTCTACTCTGTGGGGGAGGGGTTTAGACTGTGGGGGAGGAGTTTAGGCTCTAGTATGTGTACATGTATGTATACATGTATGTTTATGGTGGAATGCTCAGCAGTTGCCATGGTGACACAGTGCACACAGTAGCAATAAGTTTACATCAGCATCACTCCTCCGGGGATTGTTAATGACATCAGCTGCAAAGTATCAATGGGCACTGTCAGTGTGCCATTGAGCAAGACACTTACTGAGTGTGTGGTTCTGCGTTTCCTCCTCAGAGTGGGCGTGGTGGAGGCTGTCTCGTTCCAGTCCCGCCCCCTTTCCTACGTCCTGCTGCTGAACCCTGGAAACCTGTTCAGTGTGAACCAGGCGACGGGAACGCTCACCCTGACCCGGAATGTGGACTACGAGAGCGGACACAACATCCACGCTCTGCAGCTCCGAGCCACCGAGGAGGAGACCGCGCTCAGCTCTGTGACTGAGGTAAAACTACAACAAAACACACAAAAAACTACAACTCCCACAGACACTGAGAAGGAGACACTGTAACTGAGGTGAGGACTACAACAAAACCTAAGAAAAAAACTACAACTCCCACAGACATTACTTTGTCTGAAATGTTTCACAGTATGGTATTAAACCTTTCTATCATTTTGGAGACCAAACCGGACCAAGTTACAGGTCAGATCTGTGGAGAGGCGACCCTGCTCACAGTCAGAATACTTGTTTTTCTAAGTATTTTTGAGCTATAAAACCACCTGAAATTGAATGACTGTAAGGTAGAGCTGTGGAACATTTCAGGCAGAGCAGTGACAAGCAGGTGACAGACACGACACCAAAACGTTACAAAGTGTACCTTTAGAGAGGGGGAATTATGCAAAATAGATTTTTCTTGTATTTTTATTTCTTGTATTTTTTTTTTTTTTTTGCTTTTCCCCTTGTTAGAACACTAGTCCCTCACCAAAAACATGTCTGAAGAGGTTTTAGAGTCATCCATGCACAATTACACAAGTGATCTCTATTCAAACACTCAAACACTCTTTATGGTTAGCAGTAAGATTCTGTACAAGGCTCCGCCCACAAGCCTGCATCACCCATGCTCCCACACGACAACAGACCTTTTTCACAACAGCCAGAAGTGCTGCTCTGTAAGTTTGTGGAACTTCCAGCTATTGGTTTTCTATGTAAATGTGTGTGTAAATGTGTGTGTAAAATGTGTGTGTAAAATGTGTGTGTAAAATGTGTGTGTAAATGTGTGTGTAAATGTGTGTGTGTGTGTAAATGTGTGTGTGAAATGTGTGTGTAAAATGTGTGTGTAAATGTGTGTGTACATGTGTGTGTATAAATGTGTGTGTAAATGTGTGTGTACATGTGTGTGTAAAATGTGTGTGTAAAATGTGTGTGTAAATGTGTGTGTACATGTGTGTGTAAAAATGTGTGTGTAAATGTGTGTGTACATGTGTGTGTATAAATGTGTGTGTACATGTGTGTGTAAAATGTGTGTGTACATGTGTGTGTAAAATGTGTGTGTAAATGTGTGTGTACATGTGTGTGTAAAATGTGTGTGTACATGTGTGTGTAAAATGTGTGTGTAAATGTGTGTGTACATGTGTGTGTAAAATGTGTGTGTAAATGTGTGTGTAAATGTGTGTGTGTGTGTGTACATGTGTGTGTAAAATGTGTGTGTAAATGTGTGTGTACATGTGTGTGTAAAATGTGTGTGTACATGTGTGTGTAAAATGTGTGTGTAAATGTGTGTGTACATGTGTGTGTAAAATGTGTGTGTACATGTGTGTGTATGTGTGTAAATGTGTGTGTACATGTGTGTGTAAAATGTGTGTGTAAATGTGTGTGTAAATGTGTGTGTAAATGTGTGTGTAAATGTGTGTGTAAATGTGTGTCATATTCTCCAGCAGCTTCATAAATCTGCTCCATCACCAAATCTTCAACCAACAAACTCCACAAAGATTAAACATTCTTCATGAACAATTGATCCACAAATATCAAGAGAAGAAAGAACAAAACTTAAAGGAAACAACGAGCCACATTTGTCACACAACAAACTCAACTCATGTTCTGATCATGAATAACGGAAGTAATAAATCATTGATTTGTTGAACACTGGTCCCTCATCAAAAACATGTCATTCATAAGAAGTGCGAGCACATGTGTCCTGTGCTCACGTCTCTGCACTGCCCCCTGTGGCTCAGAGACTTTAAAGCAGCTCTGCTTTTACAAGAAATGTGTGAAGAATCCCTCAGTTGTCCAGGTAAAATCCATGGCGAGGAGAAATTTCAGTTTGTCGACTGGACAAAAGTCTTCAACCAAACTAACTTTTGTCCAGTCGACAAACAGAATTTTCTCCTCGCTCTGCTTGAACAAGTCTCTCCATGGCCGAGCACCAATGCTTCACATGTTAGTGCCACATGAACATCTGCACTGTGAGGAGCTCAGGGGCAGACCTCCTGCTGGAGCCCAGAGTCACGACTAAACACGGAGAGTCACAGTTTCACATTCATGTCTTTGTGAACATGTGAGACAGATTCTACTGACTCTGTTTAAATCCAGACTCAGAACAGTTCTGTTCAGCTGCATCTGACTGAAAGATTTTCATTCTGAGCTCTTCTCTCTCATTTAATGTCTTTTTTTAATTTGATGATGATTATTTATGTTTTGATTTGTTTTTGTTGTGATTTTAATGTATTTTTTATTCTGTAAAGCACTTTGAATTACTTTGTGTTTGAATTGTGCTCTACAAATAAACTTGCTTTGCCTTCATTAAAGAGCCCATCTCATGCAAAATCAGCTTTTCAGATCTTTCTACCTTCTCAGAGTGATGTGTGGGCCTTGGATTTGTCGCCAAAGTGGTTTTTAGATTGATTTGGTGTTTTTTTTAAAACAAATTGCAGTGTATTTCTGCCACCCTGCCACGTGACAACAAACTAAAGTTACTACAACAGTGACGCAGCAGATACACCTATGACACGTTTGATGTAGCAGAAAGAGCTTCGCACCTGCCCCCCTCCCCCACTCCACCACCTCCACCACCTCCACCACCTCCACCCCACATCGTCTGACTATTCCCACATGAACACCTAAACAAAAGCGACAGCATAAGCTCATTGTTCTACACTGCAGTGACACGATATAATAAGTTGATCTACTAGTGTTTATTAATACTTTACCAATCAGTAATGTTCAGCTGATGTGGACGCGGTGCTTGAGCTTCGTGCTCCTCAAAGTCCTCGTCCAATTCCGGGTCCAACACAGATCTCCATGATGAATAAAAGTTTATTCCTGCCTCTATCAGGGTCACGCCTGTCTCCCCCTCCCTCCCTGAGATGGAAGGAGGAAGGGCGGCTCACTCGTCGCCTACGTCACGTTTGGAGGGCGGAGCCTGTGCTTTCTCAGGACGGGGGGGGGAGGAGCAATAGTTGGACTTTCATAGTTCCTGGTCTGTGACTGTCTCCAAGAAATCAGGAAGATTTCAGAACTATTGTGTAATGGATGTTCCAAAACCCAAACTGTGCTTGTTTATGTGCAGAAGATACAATGTGAAAAGAGTTATGTTGCATGAGATGGGAGCTTTAAGAAGTAAATTAAAAACTGATTTCATGATGTAGATGTTTGCATAAACACAGAGATTTGTGCAGTTTGAATGTTAGACATGTGATCTGTGAACATCTGTAACATTTGAACTGCACAAACCAATCTGTGCTGACATCTACATCATGAAATAAATGTTTAATTTTAATTGTAGAATGAGTCTGAGTGAACAAGTTCCTTCTGTTTTATGAGCATAACATTAGTTTTATTCAGTGTGTGACTAATGTGTCGTCATTTTTCTCCTTTAAGTTTTGTTCTTTCTTCTCTTGATATTTGTGGATCAATTGTTCATGAAGAATGTTTAATCTTTGTGGAGTTTGTTGGTTGAAGATTTGGTGATGGAGCAGATTTATGAAGCTGCTGGAGAATATGACACACATGTACACACACATTTACACACACATTTACACACACATTTACACACACATTTACACACACATTTACACACACATTTACACACACATTTACACACACATTTACACACACATTACACACACATTTACACACACATTTACACACACATTGACACACACATTTTACACACAACATTTACACACACATTTACACACACATTTACACACACATTTACACACACATTTACACACACATTGACACACATTTACACACACATTTACACACACATTTACACACACATTTACACACATTTACACACACATTGACACACACATTTACACACACATTTACACACACATTTACACACACATTTACACACACATTTACACACACATTTACACACACATTTACACACACACTTACACACACATTTACACACACATTTACACACACATTTACACACACATTGACACACATTTACACACACATATTTACACACACATTGACACACACATTGACACACATTTACACACACATTGACACACACATTTACACACACATTTACACACATTTACACACATTTACACACACATTGACACACACATTTACACACACATTGACACACACATTTACACAAACATTTATACACACATTGACACACACATTTATACAGACATTGACACACATTGACACACACATTGACACACACATTGACACACACATTTACACACACATTTACACACAGAAAAGCATTAATGTTGTGAAAAAAGTCTATTTTCCTGATGTGACATGTGTTGTGTTTATAATTTTAAAAACAATAAAAAGTAACATGATGCTGTACATATGTTGTGTTACAGTTCAGACCCCAGAGGTGAATAGCCCCTCTTTAACTTCTGTGAGTCTGGAGTCTGGAGGTGCTGGTTGGAGGCCCCGTGTGGAGAGCCTGGTTCTTGTAAATTTTTGCTGCGGTTGCATCATGTTTCTGAGCGTATGAAAACGAGATGAGCTGATTCAGACGCGCTGATGCAACCTGCTCCTCCCAAACAACCCAAACCAAACCAAAGAAATCTGCAAATGTGGAGAAAGAGTCGAGTTGTGTGGAGCAAAGTAGTTTAGACTCAGACATGACCACACTTCAGCACAAATGTTCTGTTAAAACACTGTCACATGCAGACGACTTTACAGCTGTGGAGTTCAAGTCAAAATTGGTTCTTATACTGTGAAATGTAAAATGAGGTGTGATGGGGGCTCTCTGTAGTTCTGCTGATCATTCTAACTAAAACACAGCTGGACACGTCCTCCAGCTCCTCCAGGGGGACCCCGAGGTGTTCCCAGGCCAGCCCAGAGACATAGTCCCTCCAGCGTGTCCCTTTAACAAACAAATTTCACTTTTTGTGGTAAACATAGAATAAACACTGTTCCTGGTTTAGTCCTGTTTGAGTTCTAGTTCAGTCCTAGTGGAGTCTTGGTTTAGTCCTGGTTTAGTCCTTATTTTGTCCTGGTTTAGTTCCCGTTTAGTCCTGGTTTAGTCCTTACTTAGTCCTGGTTTAGTTCCCGTTTAGTCCTGGTTTAGTTCCCGTTTAGTCCTGGTTTAGTTCCTGTTTAGTCCTGGATTAGTCCTCATTTAGTCCTGGATGATCCCGTTATCTCGCCCACACAGAGTCCTGGAGATGGACTTAGACCGTGTTAAACTGGTTCAGATCTGGTCCCAGTGGCTCCGGATCCTTCACACAAAATCCTGGTTTAGTCCAAGAGAGAAAGAGAGAGAAAGACAGAGAGAATGAGAGAGAGAGAGAGAGAGAGAGAGAGGAAACACAGAGGGGAGAGAGGAGGGGAGAGAGAGAGCGAGGGGTTTTGTCTGGGGTTTAGCAGATCACACAGTTTTTTTAGCTGTATTTGATGAGTTTTGTTTGTGATCACATGAACAGACTAGAAACAGATTTATAAAGTCTTTTCCTGACTCTGTTGAAAACATGGATTTGAAAAAAAAAGAACAAACAGCAAAAACAGAATTGTGTGTGTGTATTGTTTAGTTTATAAACTGTGTGTGTGTGTGTGTTGTTTAGTTCATGTACTGTGTATGTGTGTGTGTGTGTGTGTGTGTGTGTGTGTTGTTTAGTTTATATACTGTGTGTGTGTGTGTTTAGTTTATATACTGTGTGTGTGTGTGTGTGTGTGTGTGTGTGTGTGTGTGTTGTTTAGTTTATATACTGTGTGTGTGTGTGTGTGTGTGTGTGTTTAGTTTATATACTGTGTGTGTGTGTGTATTGTTTAGTTTATAAACTGTGTGTGTGTGTGTGTGTTGTTTAGTTCATGTACTGTATGTGTGTGTGTGTGTGTGTTGTTTAGTTTATATACTGTGTGTGTGTGTGTTGTTTAGTTCATAGTGTACTGTGTGTGTGTGTGTGTGTGTGTGTGTGTGTTTAGTTGTAGTTATGTACTGTGTGTGTGTTGTTTAGTTCATGTACTGTGTGTGTGTGTTGTTTAGTTTCATAGTTCATGTACTGTGTGTGTGTGTGTTGTAGTGTTCATTTAGTCATGTACTGTGTGTGTGTGTTGTTTAGTTCATGTACTGTGTGTGTGTGTTGTTTAGTTCATGTACTGTGTGTGTGTTGTTTAGTTCATGTACTGTGTGTGTGTGTGTGTGTTGTTTAGTTCATGTACTGTGTGTGTGTGTGTGTGTGTGTGTGTTGTTTAGTTCATGTGTACTGTGTGTGTGTGTGTGTGTGTGTGTGTGTGTGTGTGTGTGTGTGTGTGTGTGTGTGTGTGTGTTGTTTAGTTCATGTACTGTATGTGTGTGTGTGTGTGTGTTGTTTAGTTCATGTACTGTATGTGTGTGTGTGTATTGTGTAGTTTATGTACTGTATGTGTGTGTGTGTATTGTGTAGTTTATGTACTGTATGTGTGTGTGTGTGTATTGTGTAGTTTATATATTGTGTGTGTGTGTGTATTGTGTAGTTTATATATGTGTGTGTGTGTGTGTGTATTGTGTAGTTTATATATTGTGTGTGTGTGTGTGTGTATTGTGTAGTTTATATATTGT